GATTATGAAGCAGCAGCGTCTCATTTTACTGTTTAAAGACAATCTTTTATCCAGGCAAAAATTATCGTGAGACAAGTACCAACAGCCTGGCACCACAGTAATACTTAATGCCCAATTTATTATTGGTCCGGCAGCAACCATTATATTTATGCTGCCACTGCCGAAGTTGTTGCCGGCTGCTTTGCCGCTTCACGTATTTTATCAAAAAGCGGGATTGGGAACTACCATATATTTGATACATAGATAATTGGGTAAAATAGTAAGGGGGCTGCCTGCGGCAGCCCCCTTACTTATAATCCTTTTAACCGTATTGCTCCATTGAGCTTATTGTATCATAAGTGCCTGTGCACTAGCGCGGGTCCCGTTTTTCAATACATTGACAGTGTACATGCCAGGCGCCAATGCTGCACTGATAAGTACCTCGCTCTTATTGCCGGTAAACATCAATGCCCCCCCGGCTATTTTTTGCCCGGCGAGATTTATCAGTTCATACCCCCAGGTATGATTACCGGCTTCACCAATATGAATATTGATGCTACGATTGATTACCGGGTTCGGAAAGATGCTGATTGTGTTTTCTTTTCCGTTTACCGTACCTACGCTGGAACCACCGGCAGGCAGTCTTTTCATATGCGCCCTGGCGCCATCTTCCTGCAAGTAAGTGTCGTTCATATAATCCACTTCCAGCAATGGGGTCACTTCACCTTCACGGTAATACCTGATCTGGTACTTGGTAGTCACCAGGCCCTGTGTGGCACCTACAGCGTCCAGCAGCGAAATATCCATTGGCAATCCTGCCAGGAAAAAGCTATCGGTAATTTCCTGCTTTACTTTAACCGCCAGTACATCCATATAAGCACTCGCCTGGCCATTCAGATTTTTCACCCGCATTTTACCCCAGCCCTTTACAGAGTCTGTTGTTACGATGTGTTTCCTGATACTTCCGGGCGTATTCACCATCGATAAAAAGGCGACGGAAAGTTTAAAATTAGTGGTGGCTGTAAGATTGCTGCTCCAAACGGAGGTGCTGGTTGCCGGAAAGGCAAGATGCGTTTCAGGACTGCTATAAACTACATTCTGCGCTTCAAAAACCAGGCTGTCATTGGGCGATAAAGTAGCAGCTGCCAGTGAGAAGGCAGTGCGGTCAACGCTGAAACCCATGGTACGTATGCCTTGCGCGGTATTGCCACGATAGTGTTTTATATCCAGTTCAAGGCCGGAGGCTGGTACAATCTCCATCACGCCATTGGTGTAATAAGTAGCGCCGGAGAAGGCGGCAGAGGTACCGGCAATATACCGGTGGGCATCATTCATGCCGTAAAAACTACCGGAAAGATCCCAGCTGGCATTTGCCGCGGGCACTACAGTAGCAGCATTCAGTTCGCGGATTGAATCCACACCTGGTGTCCAGGTCGCATAGGCGCTCTGGTTAATGGTGATCTGCGCCTGTAAGGCAAGGCCGGAAAAGCAGAGTCCAGCCATCAGCGTAAAGGTTTTCTTCATGTGGTTTGGTTTGGTTAGGTAAAAATAAGTCTTACTGGGAAAGGATGTTCATAAGCGGCATTAAGGATACAGGAACAAGCACATAACATTAGACTACTTTACAATGGCGCCGGTTTCCCGAACAGTGCTGGCACTGAAATAACCGAGGGCACCGCCTACTATATTGGATATCGGGTTGGCCTGGGTAGTGCTGTTCTGGCTCATTGTCTGCTCCAATGTGCGGTAAAATTCATACACCGGCCGATCAATAGTCTGAAGCGTTACAAAGATGGAATCACCCACCTTTATTTTAGGATTTGCATCATCATCCGTATCGTAATACAACGGGAATTTAGCGGTCTGGCCATTCGTCACATCATCATTCCGGACATCCCAGCCCTTCACTTTTCTCCGGTTCACTGTCTGTGTCAGGCGGTAGCAGTTACCGGTTTCAATAGGATCGGTATAATACGGCTTGGCATAAAGATCGTCACCACCAAATACCGATTTCTCCGTGCCGATAGAATCGATGGCAACGGGCTTAGGCATCACCGAGCGGGATGTAAATACGCGGCCATTGGCATTGATATAAAGGCTGTAAGCATGCCCGGACACACCGGGTATATTGCTGGTCTGGTAGGTGCCTGGATTCACTTCCTTTAATGTATCAGTCACACCAGCCGTTTCATCGGTAATGGTCACCAATGCACCTGCAACCTGTGGAAACTGGTTTGTTTCACTGAAGTTTACAGAGCGTGAAATACTGACGGTCTGCGGCTCCTGGCGGTCGGTTACATTTCCCTCTATCACATATTGCGGATCAGAGGCGTTCAGGTTTACATTGATCACTTTCTGACAAGAAGTAATGGAAATAAGCAGTATAAAAAATGCAGTATAACGGAGCATGACTAGAATTTAAAGTTGTAAGAAATAGAAGGTACAAAACGGAACAGCGCTGTCTGCACGGCTTCTGTGCGCGTAGGATCGTTTTCTGCTTCGCGGAATGTAATGGCATAGGCATTCTGACGGCCATAAGCATTGTACACGCCCAATGAAAGTTCCGACTTAAATCGCTTCCGGTCTGTAAGCTTACAAGTGGCGCTCAGGTCCAGCCGGTGATAGGCGGGCATCCGGTAACCATTCCGCTCTGTATAATAAAATACCACCTGGTCATCCACCTTATACTTACCGCTTGGGAAGCTGACAGCATTGCCGGTATAGTAAACAAAGATGCCGGACAC